AAAATTTATGTTCTAAGATTCCATTTTAAGGGCTCTGCAGACACCAAGCCTTTGAATGCTTGCATTCTCTACGGCACTTAATGTAATTCCATATGTTCAGGATTTGTTTTTCTCTGTGTGTTTATGCCAGGTTTTTCTTTCTTTCAGCAGGAGGTGTTTGGGAGTCAGTGAATGAAACAAAAGCACATGTAAAGATGACGAAAGAAAAAATATATTCTGATGTAAAAGAGAATACTGAATATTGCGATATACTGAGGAAGGAAGAAGGGAAACCCACACTTAAAAGAATAAATAGTTCCAGTCTTTTACAATGTAACTCTTCTCAAGAAATTCTACAACTTCAAAACCTATGCAGAGGAGACAATAGGAATGAAGAAAATGTAAGTGGGGAAAGATTTCCTAAAATATCAGACATTCAGATGCATGTGAATACCGATAAGGAAGAAAAAGCGTATAAATATCTGGAGTGTAGGAAAGGGGCTGTGCAGAAAAATACCCTGATTTCCCATCAAAGAACTCGTGCAGAGGTGAAACCATATAAATGCCTGGAGTGCAAAAAGAGCTTCAGTAAGAGTGGGCAGCTTAGTATCCATCGAAGAATTCACATAGGGAAGAGACCATATAACTGCCTGGAGTGTGGGAAAAGTTTCATTGAAAAAGAAAGCATGAGGTCCCATCAAAGGATTCATACAGGGGAGAAACCATATAACTGCCTGGAGTGTGAAAAAAGTTTCAGTCACCGTGGAAACCTTCTTGTTCATCAAAGAATTCACACAGGGGAGAAACCATATAACTGCCTGGAGTGTGGGAAAAGCTTTAGTCAGAGTGGAAGCCTTAAATTGCATCAAAGAATTCACACCGGGGAGACAAAATATAACTGCCTGGAGTGTGGAAAGACTTTCCATTACAGTTCAAATCTTAGTCGCCATCAGAAAATTCACACAGGGGAGAAACCATATAACTGCCTGGAGTGTGGGAAAAGCTTTAGTCAGAGTGGAAGCCTTAAATTGCATCAAAGAATTCACACCGGGGAGACAAGATATAACTGCCTGGAGTGTGGGAAAAGCTTTAGTCAGAGTGGAAGCCTTAAATTGCATCAAAGAATTCACACCAGGGAGAAACCATATAACTGCCTGGAGTGTGGGAAGAGCTTCATTGGCAGACCAAACCTCAACTCCCATCAAAGAATTCACACCAGGGAGAAACCATATAACTGCCTGGAGTGTGGGAAAAGCTTTAGTCAGAGTGGAAACCTTAAATTGCATCAAAGAATTCACACAGGAGAGAAAATCTATAAATGCCTGGAGTGTGGTAAAAGCTTTAGTCAGAGTGGAAACCTTAAATTGCATCAAAGAATTCACACAGGGGAGAAACCATATAACTGCATGGAGTGTGGGAAAAGCTTCACTGACAGAGGAAGCCTCAAGTCCCATGAAAGGATTCACACAGGAGAGAAAAAATATAAGTGCCTTGAGTGTGGAAAGAATTTTAGTCATGCTGTAGGCCTTACTTTGCACAAAAGAATTCACACTGGGGAGAAACCATATAAATGCCTGAAGTGTGGAAAAGGCTTCAATCAGAGTTCACATCTGAGTTCCCATCAGAAAATTCACACTGGGGAGAAACCATATAAATGTCTGGAGTGTGGAAAGACTTTCAATCAGAGTTCACATCTTCATTGCCATGAGAAAATTCACACAGGGGAGATATCATTGTTTTTAATATGCGTTTCTTGCAAACAAACCACCTCTGCATGCAATTTATGTATCTGATGGAAGATTTTATGCCTTTTATTAGGCCCATTAAGGCCGTTTACATTCAATGATATAACATTAAAAACTTTCTTGGACCCCATTTTTACTTTTTAAAATGTTGTGCCCTGGTCTTATAGCGAAACCTTGTTAATATATTTGACACCGCTGGTTTTGTATTTATATTCCTTTTCCCTTTTTTTCTATTCTGGTTAGGTTCCCTGTTTGTTTTGGGCTACCACTAGTTTGAGCTATCTCACTATCTCCCCCTGCATCTTCTTCCGTTTCTTCCTCACTTTCTTCCTCCTCCTCTTCTTCCTCCTCTTCTCCTCTTCCTACTTTTTTCCACCCTAGCTCCTCCCCGTGTAACTCCAAAAAATTTTCTATCTTAAAGATAGAGTCAATCTCATGTCTTCCACTTGCGTAATTAAACAGGACACCTTCCGGTATCAGCCATCTAAGTGTGATTCCATTTTGATGTAATAAATTTATTAGGGTTCTGTAGTTCTGTCTTTTCTCCCTAACTCTCCATGGAGTTTCTTTTAAAAATCTGATCTCATTCCCTTGTATTGTCACTTTCTTTTCATTTGTGGCTTTAAGAATGTTTTCTCTCATTCCTCTTTTGTAGAATTTTATATGAGTTTCCCTTGGTGTCTTATTACGTCTTGGGTACGCTGAATTTCTCCGGTATACCGCCTCTATTTCCCCTGCTATTTCTTCCTTAGTACCAATTTCTAATTGTTCTGCCAAGTTTTCTGCTATCGTTTCTTTAGGTCTAGTTCCTTCATTTTAGGGATATTTTGGCATCTCAGTATTAACATTGCCTTATCCATTTCTACTTCTATCAAGGTTTGCTCCATTTTATCTGTTTTTATTCTCATCTCCTGGACCTCATATTCCAGATCATTAATCTGCTTTTCTGTTTTATACCCCTTAGTAATTATTTTTTTTATTTCCTGTCTGTTCTCATTTATCTGTTTTTTCAGTTCTTGAGTCTCTGCTTTTATATGTTCTGTTAGTGTATCTATTTTGTCATGTATAGGATCAATTTCCTTCCTCATTGCCTATGCAATTGAGTCTTGCATCAGTGCTATTAAATCCTTAGTTGAAAGCTGTGTGATGTTCACTACATTTGCTTTTAGATTTTGTAAGTTAGAGGTGCCCAGGGATGGTATGGATGGTTTCCTTCCTCCTGATGCCATAATCTTTTATTTATGTTTTCAAAGGGTTTACGATCTGTTCCGCCTTCTATTTGCTATTTTCCCAACTTTCTATATTTTCTTTCCAATCTATTTCTATCCCTCAGTTTTCACCGATCCTCAACGTATATGTTTCACCCCTTTTTACCCAACTTATAACAGTTCCGTTTTATAGCTTTTAAAGTTTTGATTTCCTCCCCCCTTTACACCTCAGCAATCCTTTATCTCCTTTCATGTTAAATCTTGTCTATCCACTCAGTCTCTCTTCATTAGTCTCCGTCCTTCTTCGCCCCTCTCCTCTCTGATCTTTACATGTTACTGCTTCCCCGTCTCTCTCCGTGTCTCCGTCGCTACGCTTCCCCGCACTGTTTTCATCCGACGTTTCACTCAGCCCCGCCATTCTCCACACTCTCCTTGTCGCTCGCAGCTGCTATTACACGCCTCTGTTCTTTCCAGATCCTCCTCCTCTTTTCTTGTTTCTCCACAACCGCGTTGTCATCCAGCAATGGCGTTGTTAAAGGCACCGCGTCTCTGCTTCTCTCCCTTTCACCTTCAGCCTCCGGAAAGAAAAACACAAGAGGAAAAAAACAACAACACAGATTCAAGCATTTCTTTACAAAGGTGACTGCTTCTACTGTTATTCCCCTTATATCTTAATCTTTGTCTCTACCCTTTTCAGTTTCTTTAAATACGATTTATAGCCATTTATGTGAGACTACCACGCCTCTTTCCTCTGCTGCTGGGTACACACTTTTGTTTTAAATTAGAGCTAGTAATTCTCCCCTACTAAGATTAGAAATAGAGGCTGCGGTCACATGCAACATTAGCCACGCAAGAGATACGGAAGACAAGCGGAGTTTCCGGTCGTGATCTCACCAGCACATCTGGGAAGCGTAGCGCTTCCGTGGCACAACTGAGGCTTCCTGCCGAAAAAGCGCAGCAAAAAACTAGTACCTTGGAGGTACTAGTTTCCAGAAACTGCGGGGCAAGGGCGGGCGTCTGATCGCATTTCCAGTGGCATCCGGCGCCCGCCCATGTCCCCTTGCGGAAAAGGGGTTTTTTTCCCCAAGTCTCCGTGGATGCGCACACGCACCCAACGGAGCATGCGCATTCGTAGTGTACACAAAAAAAGAACACCAGTTCGCCGCGCCGTGCGCTTCTTCATTGCGTGCAGGCGTGTGTTGTGATCGGCACCTCTCCCTACCCACGGAAGCTCCACAGTACCTCCACAGAACCTCCACAGTAGGTCTGATCGCTTTACTGCATGTTAGTTTGCCCCGGGGCAAACAGCCACACTTCTCTTCTGCAGTTTCCTGCCCGTGTGGCAGGGGCCAGAGATAGTTTTTTGCTCTACTTAGCTTCTATACTTCTTGCTTCTTGGTTTTGCTGTGTCCTGAGATGACTCCTTCCGTTGTCTGGTCCCACTTGTACTCGGCGCCCCAGCGTCGAGCTCTTTATTGCCTCTTGCTTCAGGGTTAGAGTTTTCCTCCCAGGGTTTTGCAAAGTCCCCTGAGCTCAACTCAGGCACCCCTTGCCTTGCACTCTCTTTTTGAGTGCAGTTGAGATGTTGTTTACCGTCTAAGTTGCAATAAAGTAAGCTGTTGAAGAGAGCAGCTCTAAGCAGCCTCCATATTCGTAGAACCAGAACAGAAAATTATCCTAAAAATAACGAATGTTAAAATTGAATTGCTACCTGAAATTATACTGTTAAATATGTTACTGGAAAGTTTAAAACAGAAGGACAAATATATGATCATCTTTATACTCACAATTGCGAGGATTTTATGGGCCAGATATTGGAAACAAGAACATATCCGTACGCAAGATGAATTAATATCAAAGTTACTGGAAATGGCAGAGATGAACAAATTGAGTTTAATCCTTCAAGGAAAGGATGAAAAAATATTTGTGGAAAGATGGAAACATTTATATGACGATTAAGGAAGAGGGATAACAGACTCCTGATAATGTATGAAAATGTATGTAAAAGGAAGTGTATTGTTTACGGACAATGAAAATAAAACCGTTAAAAAAAAGAAATTGGGAATCTGTAGTCATGTTTTCTTCAATCCACTTCCAGTCAAGTTGGGGATCTGGGTTATATTGTCTGATCAGGGATGCTAAAACCGTTGCTTTTTGATACATAATTAGATCCGGGGTGGCCAAACCTCCTTTATTCCTCAGTCTTTTCATAGTTCCTAGCTTGACCCTTGGTGACTTAAATCTCCACACGAAGCTGTACATGTCTTTTTGCCATTTTTTAAGTAAATTTGTTGGAATAAATACCGGAAGCGTTCTAAACAAGTACATGTACTTAGGAAGGACATATGAGCGTATGATTGTTACTCTATCCAACCATGAAAAAGTATTGGTGTTCCATTTGATCAGGTTACTCATTATTTCCTTGTGGATAGCTTTATGATTCACCTGAATTATTTCATTTAATTTTTTTGGGATTTTAACCCCTAAATAAGAAAAGGAGTTTTCAATCCATTGGTAATTGAATCCTCATAGGAATATTTATATTATAGATCAACGACTTGGTAATGTTAATACAAAGGCCTGCCAACTCTCCAAAAATATTAAAAGTTGCTTGAATGGCGTTAAGCGATTTCGTAGGTGAGGAGACGTACAGCATGACATCGTCAGCAAACACACTAAATTTGAATTCTCTCCCACCAATCTTAATTCCTTCGAAATTAGCATTAGCTTGATGCGCGCATGCTAGCGGTTCCATAGCCCAAACAAATAGTAACGGTGACAGGGGGCATCCCTGTTTTGTCCCTCGTTGAAGTATAATTGGAGCAGTAGAAGCCCCATTAGCCAAAATGCGGATTTGTGGAGTTTCGTAAATAGCTTGTATTAAGTTACAAAAATTTGTACCAAAATTGAGGTGTTGAATTAGTGTTTTTAGATATGGTAACTCCAATGAATCGAAAGCTTTTTGAATGTCCACTGCAAGCAACAGTGAGGGGTGAGTTTTGTTAAGTTTTCCAAAATGTATAATATTTAAAGTCTTCCTGACATTGTCAGTTATGTCTCTTGTGGGTATAAACCCAGTTTGGTCCTGGTGTAAATAATGACCAATAATATTTTGATTCTCGCCGCAATCATGCTTGTAAATATTTTATAATCCGTATTTGCTAGTGTTATCATGTAATTCATATTTATTTAAGAGTTGCTGAAAAGAAGTAGGTGTTTTGATTATTTTCCTGGTTGTATAGCTTGGAAAGGCGGATGACTTATTTATGGTGGGGTTTATCAAATAATTAAAATCTCCCCCAAAAATTATAGGACCTTTGGCAAAATTGTTAAGTTTTGCAAGGACATTGATTAAAAATTGAAGTTGGTTAGAGTTGGGGGCGTAGATGGTGGCTAAGGTCAGAATTTCCTCATTGTAGCATCCATTTAAAAATAAAAATCTGCCTTCTTTATCTTTTAATGTGTCTTCTAGTTTAAATTTGGAATCCTTAGAAATTGCAATGGCTACTCCCCTAGACTTATTTTAGCCTGGAGCCAAAATTTGTGTTGAACACCATGCTGAGGGTAGGGCTCTCATATCCTTTTTTTAAATATATGTTTCCTGCAGAAATACTATGTGTGTTTTTTGACACTGGAGTTGTTTGGCAATGCGCTTGGCTTTGATAAAATTGTATAGGCCACGACAATTTAATGAGAGTATATTTAATTCAGCCATTTAGGGTATGATCATCTTGCTTGTTGCAAGTCGGGACATGCAGATAAGTCCACAACATAGTTTTATTTCTCCTGTTCATAGAAGTATTCCAATTTACTTTACTTCGTTTGCCATTTAACAACCTA